ACACAAGTGATTACTCCGCCATTTGTATGCGAAATTTAAGACTGGTGTATCGGTCATATGCACATGTGGAATGTCCCCCCCCCCCTGCCCTACCCTACCCCCTCTTTATCCAAACAACAGAACGCATCTTCCAAGACTGTCACAAACAGGATACATCAAGGCAAACCTTTTGGCTAAAAGGGCCAGAAGATACAAAAAAAAAAAAAAACGTTATAACTCGGTTACCTAAAAAAGGACAATGAAATGTGTTGGAGAGACAAACTGAGGATACAGACAATCTATTTTAGACGAGATAAATTCATAGACATTTAATTTCTAGCATTTGGATAAGGTTTTTTTTTTTTTTTTTTTAAAGCATGCAACAAGATGGTAATTTAAGAAAAGCTAAAGTGTGTTTTGAAACGAGGTAAACAAAGAGATTAAAATTATAAAAGGTAAAAAGGTAAAGTCGGGAGATGTGAACCATCGTCATTCCACGCGGTTATAAACCATAAGTGCTCTTCCACCAGTACGGACAGCTGATAAGAATTGTCCGCCTGTGTCCCCGTCCGCACGTAACTCTGTGGCTACACCGACGTTCCTCCATTTAACCCAGAGTGTCAACTCTGGTACCCATTTCCTAGAGGCTGGGTGAACCCCGGAACCCGCCTGGTTTCGCACACCGACCGTGGGCTGCGGTGAGTTGCGGCTGGATTTGAAAGCGATCCTCTTATCGACTGCGCTAACGCGGCCCCAAAGATAAGATAAAATGATAAATGCGTCTAAAAGAGTTGTCCGGCAGACGAGTCGCTGTCAGGACGAGTGGCAGTCAAGGTTGTCAAAAACCGATCAAATAAGTATGCTTAGCTCAATACAAACAACGCACCCAGAATGCTGAAAGATGACTTCTGCTTCTGCTTCTTCTGCTTCTTCTGCTTCTTCTTCTTCTTCTTCTTCTTCTTCTTCTTCTTCTTCTTCTTCTTCTTCTTCTTCTTCTTCTTCTTCTTCTTCTTCTTCCTCTTCTTCCTCTTATTCTTCTTCTTCGTCAGCATTCTGAGCAACTGAGGTTTACTGCTGCAGATATCACCCGCCTCCACTCATCTCACTGGCTGGCCTTCTCTTTCCAGTTGGTAACACAAAGTGTTTGGAGATCTCTATGGACATTATCTCTCCATCGTCATCTTGGTCTGCCTCATGGTCTACGACCATTCATCTTCCTTGTGTATACAGTTTTTACCTCACCGTCATCTTACATTCTCTCAATATGCTCCAACCATATTAATCTTTTAGCTCTCATGATGCCAGTGATCAGTGGTGATTTAAACAGATTATGAATTTTGTTGTTGCTTCTCACTCTCCACTCACCGCTGTTTGCATCTTTGATGGGTTCAAACATTCGTCGTAATACTCTGTTTTCGAAAACCTGTAATAAGTCTTCTCTCTTTTAGTTGTGTTCCACGTTTCACAGCCATATAAAACGACTGATCTTATCAACGTTTTAAATATTTTGAACTTGGTTTTGCGAGATAGAGACTCTGACTTTAGCAGATGTTGAAGGGCATAGTATACTTTACTTCTAGATTGCATTCTAGATTGTATTTCTTCTCTCAGCATGTTGGAGCAGTTGAAGTTTGCCCCCAAGTACTTATATGTTTCCGTTTGTTTGATTTTGTAGACCGTGCCTAGCCTGCAAAAACAGGATTGCGGATTCAATTCACAAGGAGTTATAGAGGAATGTTATTGCTCTCATTTCTCGACGTGGCCCTTGACAATCAGCTAAAATTGCATTACGCGAGTGATCACACTTTTGTTTGTAGCTTGTAGCTTGAACAACGGATCAACATCATGGCACACGGGTAGTAACCCATAAATGCTCCGTTCTTCTTCTTACTCAAGTCTGAGTCCGAAAAAGCTCAGCACAGTGCACAGGTTCTGTAGCACCGGCTAAGATGCTGAAATACTTTGGGTAGATTTTTAACTCCAAATTTTGCCCGGGCAGCGCCGTTAGGCTTATCTTTTCTATTTCCAACTGCCAAGGGATTTTTTTACGTGCGCAACAGTGCACACGGGCATCCGATCTTACTACCCAGAGATCGGGGCAAATACTAGAAGTCCAAGTCCACGTGAAAAAATACCAGCTCTTACCGGGGATTGAACCCGGAACCTCTCGAGGCGGACACCATACCTCGATACCATGCAGGCCACCACACACTTTTTGTGTATTTTTCAGCAGCAGCGTGTTAAAACGTCTATTGCATTTTAAACGGCTACCTTCCAGTTGAAGCAGTGGTTCTCAGCCTTCCTATTTTCGTCGCTACTTCATAATTTAATAAATATGTGTTTTCCTATGGTCTTAGGCGACACATAGGAAAGAGCTTTTCAACACTAAAAAATAGGTAGCGATCCACAGGTTGAGAACCGCTAAGAGGCTCTGCCCCATTAGGTGCTGGCGAACCCGCAGGTTGCAATGCAACCTTCGCATTTAAACTGTCCCTGCTCTACTTCAAAAGTCTATTCACAACAAAACAATAGTGTCTACTTTCCAGATTAGAATCTGACTGGTTTCCGGGGGCGGTTCTTGGGGGGTTATTAGAAATTTTATAATGCGCGGGTTTGCTTGTGCCGACGTGAATGGAAACACGACACATTAACAAAAGCGCGAGAAACCAAAACACCAAAGTTGAATACACTGACTGACTGGTAGAACCGGTGCAAGCAGGCTCGACAGCCAATTACGATGAATAATTTTAAATTGGTTTTAAGTTACATAATTGAAAGTTTCGGGGCATGGAGTCTTGTGTCAAGAAATAACAAAGTGAAGGGGAATGACGTCAAAGTTGTAACGCATTAATCGTCTTTTGCATTTGTCTGGTGACGTTTCCCCCCCCCCCCCCCCCTTTTCTTTGGGTGACTGAATTATGCATGTCTTCAGCAAAGTTGCTAGATTTGCGCATTTTGGCCAACACATCTGACTTTTTCCTTTGGCTAGTCATCTTTCAGAGTTTCTTCAACATTTAACTGTCTAAGAGTGGTTTCGTCATATCTACTGTTTCACAGGTCCTTTGAAGTCGAGCTGCGTCTGCCTCATGGCAAGGAACTAACAGACTGCACACAAATAAGTTAGTTGCATGTCCTTAATATGACGTTGCAGAACCAACCCCAACATTTCTTGGCTGTTGTTGTTTTTTTAGGCTAGTTTACGTTCAGTAATTTGTCATCTCCTCAAAGGTCGACTCTTGATACCACTGTCGAAACCAACGCAAGACGGTCTGCTGTCAAATCGCCTGCAGCTGGTATTGAACCTGGCACCCCGGCATTAAGAAGCGCGATAGCAACGTCTATGCCACAGAGCTTGCACATAAATAAGTCAGATCAGTAGAAAGGATGTACACGCACAACCCAAGTCCTGGAACAACGCCAAGGTCCAGACAATAGATAACAAGCAGGACTTTCGAAGATTTGCATACTAGGATGTTCCTATGTAGTTGAAGCAAACATACTCACTGTGTCCTCAAAGAAGGGCAGTAATCGTACATGGAGTGAGTAAGTAAGTTGTACCCCACCAGGACATCGCACTGAGCGATAAACACCTGGTGACACAAATGTCCACCATTCGGATGAGGATCACCCGTGGAGAGGTCAGGGAAACCCCGTTCAATCGTTAGGTGGTATTAGGACCCCCGGCAACAACCAGAATGGGCCTTCAAAATAACGGAAAATGTGTCCCACAAGGGGACGGAGTGACATATAACGTACATGTACATTTGACACCAACCAAAGCGGTTTTAATGAGCACAGAAAAGACACCTGATGCTCCGATACTGGATTATTCCAAAGAAACGTCAAATCATACACATATCTGTTTAACTCACGTCCGTTTATTCGTCATTTAGTTCACAGTAGGAGGAACGACAATGACAAGATTGATGTGGTCTTTAGATTCTGAACTTTGTTTTTCTTCTTCTTCTTCTTCTTCTTCTTCTTCTTCTTCTTCTTCTTCTTCTTCTTCTTCTTCTTCTTCTTCTTCTTCTTTTCCTCCTCCTTCTTCTTCTGCTGCTGCTGCTTGTCGTCCTCATTGTTATGGCAACCCTGATGTTAATACTGACAGAAAAGGTATTACGTCCAGTCGTCCTTGTTAGCCCAGCATTCTCTTCTTAACGAGCAGTGCAGTGGGCAGCGCTGCAGGACAAGTTCTACTGTTTGTTCGTGCATCGAACACAGGCGTGGTGTTAGACTACGTGGACTTAATGCTTTTGTTATATTCTTACAAAGAGTGGTTCGATCTATACGTAGGCTGCCATTAGCTGACACGGCATATCATATAGTATTTGTGTCTAGCGACAGGGTATTGATAATTTGAAGGTGTCGTCTTAATATTATTAGCAGAAGCAGCAGCAGCAGCAGTAGTAGTAACAGCAGCAGCAGCTAAAGTAAAGTAGGAGCAGCTACAGCTTCAGCAGTTGTAATAGTGATAGCAGCAGTTAGTGGTGTGTTATAGCAGTATGAGGAGGAAGAGGAGCAGGAGGAGAAGTAGTCGAATGGGAAACAGCAGCAGGAGGGGTAAAATAACAATGTTGTATCGATAATAGACTCGCCAACAAATAGACGCACACTACACACAATATAAACAGACGCACACTACACACAATATAAACAGACGCACACTACACACAATATAAACAGACGCCCACTACACACAATATAAACAGACGCACACTACACACAATATAAACATACGCACACTACACACAATATAAACAGACGCACACTACACACAATGTAAACAGACGCCCACTACACACAATATAAACAGACGCACACTACACACAATATAAACAGACGCACACTACACACAATATAAACAGACGCACACTACACACAATATAAACAGACGCACACTACACACAATATAAACAGACGCACACTACACACAATGTAAACAGACGCACACTACACACAATGTAAACAGACGCACACTACACACAATGTAAACAGACGCACACTACACACAATGTACTCACGTAAATTTTGTCATGCGATCTTCCGAAGAAAGGAAAATCAATGGTCAGTCGGATCTCTCCTGAGCCGCCGTCGTCTTCACGATCTGTCTGATTGTCATTGACACTGGGACCAAAAGGAAACAACTCCGACACACTTACTGAAGCTACTCGGACCGACGCATGGGCCAGAAGACAACACAGGAGAACCACACGCACAAACAACACACTAGTGAGGACACGGCAGGTTCTTGCTGGACTGATTGTGTGTAAGAAGCCCCCACATGCAAACATTATACACGGCGGGCATTAAAGATGAGGGTGTGGTGTGAGGTTGAAGGCAGCGGTGTGCCAAAACTGACCATCGGAGGAGATTGACGTTGCAGAAATCTGACGATGAGCTTGTGGACCTCATGTCGCTAGCTTCCTGGATGCAGGGTGAAATAGGATGACACTTCTAAGGGCGGTTAAACTGTGTGATTGTCGAATTGGCGTGGGCCTAGCGTTTGTATTCTCACAACGTGTTGCTAATGACCCACCATGAGAAACACTAAGGTCACACAAAGGCATGTCCCATGTGAATTTCACATTATCCAAGTTATATAACTCAGTTGCTCGCATTAATCTCCCTTGAAATTGTGAATTTAAAATACTGACATAATTATATTTCACACCGTAATTTTCATACAAATTTTTTAACTATATATTAATTAATAAACGTTAATGCGGTGCTAGTGTTATTATTATTATCATTACAATAAAGCAGCATTAGTAATATTAGTACATGCAGTAGTTGTTGCAGTGTAGTTGTAGTACCATCACTAACAGCAAATGGTGTGTAGCAATAGTATAGTAGCGGTAGCAGTATTAGAAGTAGTACTATGACTAGAAGAAGTAGCAGTATTGCAGTAAAAGTTGAATGTTGAATGTCGAATTGAGAATCGACATCACAGCACTCGAGACACTCCCAAAAATACTCAGTCCCCATCCTCAGCAGCCAGCTAAAAGCTTTAATTCTGATGGAAGCAGCAATTGTCTTTACATCCATCTCGCCGTTTCCCCGAGCGACCGCCGCCCCTCCCCCACCCACGCAAAGCACTCTCCTGCCAAACAGCCTGCAGCTGAATGGAACCAGATATTGTGGAATAACCAGCTGCGTTCGATGATCCCAAGTTGCAAACGCCGGCATAATTAGAGGCAAGGGTGAAACAGTCTCTGAGGATATTTGGCGAGCTTTGCAAAATGACAAAGGATGTGACAACCTTGTTGGTGGGAAAGGGGGTGCGGATGGTTGTTGTGGAATTATGGCCCATTGGAAGGTGAAAAGCAGTTTGAAGTTTAAATAACGCTTCAACATCATGGCACACGGGTAGTAATTCATAAGTGCTACGTTCTTTTTTCTAACTCAAGTCGGAGTCCGAAGAAGCTCAGCACAGTGCACAGGCTCTATTGCACCGGCGAGGATCCTGAAATACTTTTGGGTAGATTTTTAATTCCAAATTTTGCCCGGGCAGCGCCGTTGGGCTACTTTTTACGATTTCAAACTGACCAGGGATTTTTTACGTACGCGACAATGCATACGGGCGTCCGATCTCACTGCCAGAGACTAAGGGGAATTACTAGAAGCCCAAGTACACGCGAAAAAATCACAGCTCCTAGCGGGTATTGAACCCGGAATTTCTTGCACTCGAGGCAGACACCATGCCTCGAGACCTTGCAGCCCACCTAGGTAAAAAGCAGAAGAAATAACACGTTATATGACAGATATTTTTCAAGTAGCACATGTCTGTGCATTCTTTTCATTCGTTTTTTTCTGCTTTCGTCCCTAACATGCAGCTGGCACGCTGTTTTGGTTAATGTCTGCGTCAGTGGGTTGGGCGTTAGCGAATGCGCTTCGTAATTCTAACAGGCTGGGTTCGATCCCAACTGGGGACAAGTTAGCAACATACCGCCTAAGGTTGGTTTCGATAGTCGTATCTACAACCGACTATTTAGAAAGCAATGACAAACTATTGAAAGTAAACTTATCTAATTAAATCACAAACAGCCATAAAATGGAAGGTGTTGGTTTTGAAACGTATTGTAACTGTAAAGGACATTCAACTAATATTTTTTTTTTATAATTAGGGACAGAAGGCTTGTTGTGCTTTCTGGCCCAAAATGGGCCCCTGGAACCCAGGCGGGGAGTCTGTGTAAGAAAGAGTCAAACAGTGTCTGTTGTGCAGCGCATAGAGATACTATGGAATTACTGACGCGGGCACGACCGCTCAAAGAAAACAAAGCAGGCCTTTGAAATGCCTGTACCGAGAGAAGACGTTATGCAAGAGTTTATCTGTAAGGACTTCAGCACTAGCTCTGCCCCAGTGACTTTGACAAATACGGTCTAGTCTGCGTGAATAGGCATATCTAAAAGCAACCCCAAAAAAAGTCGACTTCTTCAAGTAGAGTGTTGTACTATATGTTCAGTCTCATTTCACTAGCTCCCTATTCTGCGTGGGTGGTTTGAGCGTGTGTGTATGTGGGGGGGGGGGGGGGGATTAATCATGTGACCCTGTTTGGCATCGTTGAATGGGCAGGGGTCCTCTCTGTATGAAATGACTGAAAGTACACAAGACAGAAGACGACGGTAAGACATAATTACCAACAATACACGGCATAGCGAACCGGGAGAACACAATCAAGGAGAATCGGCTGGTAAACAGCATCCTCTCCCGAAAGCTGAGTTATTTGGACGTTAAGCGGCTTGGTGGTCTGGAGAGAACGGGTATGGGAGATGCAGCTTCGGGAAAACGATGCAGAGGCCGATCTCAGTGAAGGGATATAATGACACTGAAGATAAGAAAAGTAAGTAAAGGACCCTTTTCCACGCCTTTAGGCGTATAGGGCATAAAGGGCTAGACCTATATTTTTATAGACAAATCGGCACAAGATAGGTGATGTGGTCGGTATCACACCAGCCGCCTTTACTTCCCGAGACTGCAGCCGGTACCCACTCAAGGCTGGGTCGACCTCAGAGCCAAGGTCATTTTTTTAAAATAGTTCGGCTCCTCCAGGGAGCGAACCCACGACCTTCCGATCCGCGGCGAGCGTCCAGCCGCTCGGCCACGGCGACTCCCACACTGAAGATACATTAACGATAAAAGCACTCAGTGGCTGGAGAACTGACTAGATAAATAGAAGCGTGCAGGTGTGAAGAGAGCGACGTTCTGTAAGAGACCTTGTGACTGATTGATGGATACGGTATGGAATAACAGAAGAAGAATTTAAACAATGATCGCTGTGCGTAATCTTCTTCTTCTTCTTTGCGGTCATCGGCTGTAAACTCTGGTGGAAAGTTCTGGTTGTTCGTCCACTTCTGGACTGCGGTCCTGTTTTAGAACCTCTGTGTTTCGTGTGCATCCGTTTGACAGATCTGACACATTTGTGTACATACTGTTGGTTCTTGCCTCTCAGGCAGATGCACTCCGATTTCGAAGGAAGCTCCCAATTAGTCGACTCTTACGACATGCTTTTGGGTAGGCAAGGGCTCAATTCTTGTGTTCCCTATTATAGGGTCCCGGAACCCACACGGGGGAGTCCAATATTATAAGGGGGAGGCGGGTAGGGTTAGGCTTAGTGTTCGGACGTGTTCATTTCATACCTTAACACCCCTATACTACTGGACTTTCCATGAAATAGACGACGAAATCGTGTAGTCTCTGGGGTGGGGTGAATTAAATGAAAAGAACTGCTTTCTGTTGAAATAGGATACTTCTTCTGCTTCTGCGCTCATCCGAATATGTAACTGCGTTGTGTTCGTTTACAGCATGGCTGCGATATTTCGGCCAATACATTCGACTTCTGCTGGCATTTGTTGACCGGGTTAGCCTTCCCGATGAATTAGAATACAATCTACTTCAAAAATACAAAGCCATTGACAGCTGTGCGTAATAAATACTTAGATGTGTTACTGAAAGTGTTAAACTGTATTTGACGTGCGACAGACTCGGCACCCATAGTTTTTTTTCGCAGACTCCTGCTAAGCCGGTAGTAAATCATTTTATTTAGGGCAGAGGTTCTCAAACTGGGTGTCGCCAGCGTATGCCAGGAGTGCCGCGACAATAATCAAGAAAAGTCGGCTACAAATTGTGAAATTATTAAAGATTAGATACTTATAAAGTTAAAATTTAAGTTGTCTTTCGTCGCCAGTGTCGAAAAGAGTATTTCTTGTTTCACACTCAGATATATTTCATATTGCATAAAATGGCAACCTCAGCGTGCTAAGAATTGCCCATGTATTTATCTCGAGGTACAACCGATCCTCTTCCTACATTCAGGAACGCCGAGCTCTATCTTTTCACACAGTCTGAATGTCTGAATTCATGTGGAAAGAATTTATAAAAATGAAAAAGATATAATGAAAAATTCATCCAGATGGTTCCGTTTCTCGCATTTAAAACAACCGAACGTTAAACTGGACTGTTTTAATTCTTTCACTAAGTATTTAACCACTCTAAGGGTAGATGTGCCGCGAAATTTGTTTAGCCCAACAATGGTGCCACGATGAAATAATTTGGTAACCAATGCTATAGGGAACCTCTATAATGGATATCTCTAAGAGAACTGCAGTTTTAAAAAGGGTAGGTCATTATAGAAAAGACAAGAGAAAGGCGGTAAGAAAAAAAAACAACAAATATTTACGTCAGCTTTACAAAATCAATTACAATGAACAAAGGACGTTGCGGCGATTAGCTTTCGTCAGCAAACAAAGATAACATAGCACACATAGAAAAATATACACTAACAATCAAACGACTACACTGGACTATTATGTAATAAATAACTGATAATCATCTGGGTTCATAGTGAAATTAGGGGTGCTCGATAAAGGACCGATTTAAAGAAATCAATGAGAGACTTTAACATGGGCATCTATAAATGACCTATTTAAGAGACATTACATAATGTGATCAACATCGTACCAGCCACCTTTGCTTCCCAAAAACTGTCATGGCGTTCAGATGGTTAGACTCACTGCCTATCAAGCAAAGGGGAACTAATTAAATATTTTTCACCCCCCTCCGAAATCGAAACCCATCTGTCTGAGAGCGAGGAACCAACAGTCTGCACACAAATACGTAGATCTGTTAAACGGATGTGCAGGCAGATTTTAAGCTCTAGAACAAGATTAAAATCCAGAAGCAATAACTTTCCCGTTGATGCTTAAAGCCGGTGAACGCTAAGAAAAGGACGAAGAAGAATGTACACTAGGCTCTTCTGCAGACCCAGGTCAATGAAAAGGGTTGGGTGGGGTG